CTTCCTTTCTTTCTTTCTTTCATTCTTTTTCTTTCAATATGTTTTTATTGATTTTTAAAGATAGAGGAAGGGAGGGGGAGAGAGATAGAAACATTGATTGGTTGCCTCCAGCACACCCCATACTGCGGACTGAGCTCACAACCCGGGCATGTGTCCTGACCGGGAATCGAATCCTCACCTCCTGGTTCACCGGTCTACGCTCAACCACTGAGCCACGCCAGCTGGGCATTGCCAGTTTCTTATAAAACTAAACATGCACGTACCATTTGACCCAGCAACTGCACTCTTGGGCAGTTATCTCAGAGAAATGAAAACTAATGCTCTCTCAAAAATTTGTACAGGATGTTCTTAGCAGCTGTATTCCTGATAGCCAAAAGCTGGAAACAACTCAGATGCCCTTCTGGGGTAAATGTTTAAACAAATTGTGGTACATCCGCCCAATGGAACACCACTCAGCAATAAAAAGAAATGAACTACTGACAGACTCAAAAACTTGGATGAATCTCCAGCAAATTATGCTGAGTGAAAAAAGCCAATCCCCATAGGCTGCATACTGTAATGACTCCACTTATATAATATTGTTGAAATGACAAAATTTTAGAAATGGGGGTCAGAACAGTTGTTGCCAGGGGTCAAGGAAAGCAGGGGAGGAGGAAGGAGATGGTGAGACCAGGAGTCCTAGCCTTTGGAAGTGAAATTTCTAACAAATATAAAACTGAGGAAATTTTCTCAAAATACAAAATGCTCCTATCCACAGACTCTACAATTCCACGTCTAGGAACTTTTGGACAGACTGACACATGCGCAGGGAGACGTCCGAACAAAGATGTGGGCTGCATGTGTATAATGGCAAATGGCTACAGACCCTCTCCATGGCCATCCAGAGGAGATCAGTGGGGCCAAGGCTGGCCCCACCCAGCAGTGGAGAGCGCTGAGGTTCAAAAGGATGGAGACGGACAAGAAAGGTCCCCAAGGTACGCTGTCCCGTGAAAAAAAAGGGCAGTGTGATCTCGTGGTGGAAAACTCGTGATATGTACACTGACACAAGCACAGGTGATTTCTGAAGGGCTACATAAGACGAAGTTACAGTGACCGTCCCTGGACAGCTACCTGATAGATGGAAGACGACGGGACTGGCACACATCTAAGTGCTTTTCAATTTATTTTCTACTTTATCATCATGTATCCTAAGCACCTAAACGTGTGCTAGGCACATAGAGGCTGCTTAACCTGCATTTCTTAAAATGTGAAAATAAAACTATTTTTATCATTTAAAAACATTTAATAAATTTGAGGGAGGCAAATAGAGGGGCTGCCAACTTTTCATGTTGCACAAGAAGGACTTTAAAACAAGCAGCATTTAGTTTCATTTGAAAAAAAAGAACCTGGCCCTGGCCGGGGTGGCTCAGCTGGTTGCAGTGTCATTCCATTCACTGAAAGGTGGCAAGTTCGATTCCAGGTCAGGGCACATACCCAGATTTTCTGTTCAATCCCTGGGTCGGGGCACGTCAGGAGGCAACCGATCAATATTTCTCTCTCTCTCCCTCTCTTCCTCTTCCTTCCTCTCTCTGAAATCAGCAAAAATAAAAAATAAAAAGAATTTCAACCCAGAAAAAGGGCAAGTTACAAAGTAAGAGGCAATTCTTTCACTGCAAAGTGGTTCTCTTTAAAAAAAATAAAAACATATTTGCCCCAGAGAGCAGTACACACTGATTTTGGGAACCATAAAATTCCAACAAGCTGCTTGATTTACAGATGAGGAAACTGCGGGGGAAGTGACCTTCCCAAGGTCACAGAGGGACTGTGAATCACAGATCCTCAAACTTGGAAGGGAGCCAAGAACTCATCTTCTTTGACCCCACCCCCAACTCATACCTTAACCACATCCCACTCCAAACCCAGCCAGCCCCCACACACGTTCCTGGGGAGGATCTTTACCTGGCTGTTGACGTTACTGTTCTCACTAAACACCAGCAAACCCCCGATGAAGGCAGCCAGGAATGAGTGCACCTGGTAGGTCTCGCCTTGCAGGTAGGACTGCAGGGCGCAGAGCCCCTTGTAGGTGAACACGAAGAGGGCCAGGTTAAAAGAGTGGGTGTACGTGTTCTGCAGGATGACCCGAAGCTTCTCCCGGAGGCTGCACAAACACAGGGAGCCACCATGAGAGCAGGCCCAGTCGTTAGGAGGGCATTCACCCACTGGGCATGCAAAACTAAACCAGGCAAGCCCGGCCAGGCCTGGCTCAGCAGTTGAGCATCGACCTATGATCCAGGAGATCGAGGTTTGACTCCCAGTCAGGGCACATGCCTGGGTTGCAGGCTCAATCCCCAGCAGGGGGTGCGCAGGAGGCAGCCAATCAATGATTCTCTCATCATTGATGTTTCTATCTCTCTCTTCCTCTCCCTCTTCCTTCCTCTCCCTCTGAATCAATAAAGATACATTAAAACAACAACAACAACAACTAAACCAGGCAAGGAGGTCAGGGCTCAGAGTCAATGCACATTCAACCCCAGGCCTCTAACCTCCATGTCCTGGGAGGTGCTGGCACACTCGATTCAGGCCTTTACTCCATGCCCCTTCCTCAGAAAGGCTTTCCCTAACCACCCTACATAAAAGAATGCCCATCATATCTGTCCCCTTACCCTACCTTTTTTTCCTTCATAGGTCTTATCTCCACCTGACATTTATATGCTTGTTTATTATCTCCCCCATTCCCGCCCCATCCCAGCAGAGGGTACCAGAGAGTGGTATCTACAACTAACTTGTTCATCCTTAGGGCCCAGGAGAGGGCCTGACACAGAGTAGGTGCTCAATAAATATTTTTTGGACAGAACATGTGGAGAAATGAATGAATGAGGGAGTTAGTGTCTCACTAGGTGCTGGATCTGGGAATACAATTCTGGGGAAAAAAACAGATCTGCTTGCTGTCCTAATGGGAGAGGGAAATATAGTCACAAAGCAAGGGTCAAACTTTGACCTTGACAAGAGATAATCCTGGGATCTGAAGGATGAGGAGTCAATGGGGTCAAGAGGGGAGAGGAGTTGCATCCCAGGCAGAGGGATCAGTAAAGATCCTGAGGAGAGACAGAGAGTAGAGAGTAAAGGAACAGAGAGAAACCTGAGCAGAGAATGTATAGGCAAAGTAAGTAGGGGATGTAGGGTGGCAGATAAAGCCATGCTAAGTTTTGTCTTTATCCTGAGAGAAGCAAACATTTAAGTAGGGGAGGTAGTTGAGGGGTAGCTCACTTGGTTAGAGTGCTGTCCCGATGTGCCAAGGTTGTGGGTTCAATACCCGGTAAGGGCACATGCAAGAATCAACCAATGAATACATAAGTGGAACATTCAAAAATAAAAAATCACATGTTATAATGCATTTAATTTCTTGTTAGAAGTAAGGCAACATAAGTCTTCAAGAGACCTAAAATTTGTTTTGATTGATGTTTTTCCTCAGTGTTCTTGTAATGGTAGTATTTGAAAAAAAAAGTAGAACACCAGCCCTGGCTGGTGTGCCTTCGTTGCTTGGGCGTTGCCTGGTGGACCAAAAGGTTGCGGGTTCCATTCCTGTTCAGGGCACATGGCCAGGTTGTGAGCTCAGTCCCCAGTAGGGGGAGTACAGGGGGCAGTCGGTCAAGGTTTTACTCTTACATTGATGTTTCTCTCCCTCTCTCCCTCTCCCTTCCTCTCTCTCTAAAACTCAATTAAAAAAAATAAGTGGAACAACAAATTGATATCTCCCTCTCTCCCTCCCCTTTCCTCTCTCTCAAATCAATAAAAATTAAAAAGTAAATAAAGTTAAACATTTGGGGGCAGTGAGAGGAACACAGGGAGAAGAACAGAGTGCGCTCCGGGAGATCAATTCAGGAATGGTAAACCCAAGCGCCCTCAAGGCTAGATGAGGACTTTGGAGTTGGTCTACTAGGACCTGTGGAAATCTGTCAGGTGAGTGGGCATAGCCAGGAATCAGCTGGTTCTTGCCCCATAGGAACATGAGCCCAGTGTTGCCAGTTCTAAGACAAGTTAGATTTCCGAGTTTTTAAGTGTTAACACTAATCCTGCCTTCAAAATGTTTCTAGAATCTGACCACTTCTAATCTCCACTGCCACCACGAAGGTCTGAGCCACCAGTGTTGCTCACCTGGATTATTGCCACAGCCTCCTATTTTACACTTACTTCTGTCCTTGGCACCCACCCCCACCTGTTCTTAATCTGGCAGCGAACTCCTCACTCTAACACTATTAAAAGACAGGGCGAATAGTAGCACATCCCTGCAAAAATCTTCCACTTTCCTGTTTCGCTTAAAGGAAAAGCCAAACTCCTCTCTAAAGTTGGACAGGATGGGCCCAGGTTACCCCTATGACCTTCTTCTTTGTGCTCTCTCCTTGAATCCCTCCCCTCCAGCCTTCTCAAACTCACCAGGCATGATCCCACCCCAGGCCCTTTGCACTGGCTATTCCCTTGGCCTAAAACACTCTTTCCCCTAATGCCCACTTGGCCAGCTGTTTAGTCTCCTTAAAGTCTTTACTCAAATGTCACTTTCTCACTGAGGCCTTCCCTATTTAATTCTGCAGCCTGCCCCTCCTCCAGCACTCCTGGTCCTCTTTCTTTCCTTGCTCTAATTTTTATTTCCCAGAGCCCATGTTACCTTTCGACCTATTCTCTCCTTATTTATTATGTTTTTCTTCTGCCACTCACTGCTAGAATGCAAACTCTATGAGGGCAGTGAGCATCGTCTGTTTTGTTCACTGCTGTATCCCGGCACCTAAAACAGCATCTGGCCCACAGTAAATGCTCAATAAATACCTACTGAATGAATGACTGAGCTCAATTTTAAAACAAAAACAAAAAAAGATTCGGAGCACAAAAGCCAAAACAAACAGAAATAAATTTAAAAAGCAAAAATACAAAAAGAGAAAATCTTGAAGCTGGATGTGGCCAGAAGGCTGTCCATGTGGAATTCTTATAAACTCCAAGTGAGACTACATACATTAAAAACTAGATCATGCCCAGCTGGGCGTGGCTCAGTGGTTGAGTGTCGACCTAGGATCCAGGAGATCAGGGTTCAATTCTTGGTCAGGGCACATGCCCGGGTTGCGGGCTGCAGCCAATCAATGACTCTCTCATCATTGATGTTTCTACCCCTGTCTCTTCCTCTCCCTTCCTCTCTCTGAAATCAATAAAGATATATTAAAAAAAAGAAAAAAACTAGATCACAAGGTGGTTTCTGAGAAGTGCCTTGAGGGAAGATTTATGAGAGACCAGAGGAAGGCCAAGAAGTTTGAACAAAGGGAGGTCATAGACAGTTTTCTGAGAAAGTGATCCTCAGAGAACTGGTATGGGTTGCTAAAAAGGAAATAAAGGTTGGGGAGAAGAGGAAAAGGCACTCCTGGCAGGGGTACTGCATGAGCAAATATATGGAGGTAGAACCACATGTGGCATGTGCATGGAATGACAGCAAGCTTTGTGTGCCAAAGGCATCCCAGGTTGAACATGGGAGAACAGGGTGGGGCTGAACTGAGGCCAAACTGCAGAGGGCCCTAAAGGCCACACCTGGAAGTTGGGCTTCTTTGGAGGGAGTGGGATCCAAGGGAGTTTTCCAGAAGGGATAAGAGAATCAGAGTTGTACTTTAGGAGGTAGTGATGAGGACAGGCTAGACCAGCTAGGGAGATACAACAGCCCTGGCACTGAGGGCTGACCACATTCTCTCCCAGTTTGAGGGGTGTGCAGAGGGGTTGGGTACCTGCCACTCCGGAAGAGGAAGGTCATGACCAGTGCATGAGGGGCCCGGATTTTGGCTCCATAGCTGCAGAAACAAAAGAAAACAGTTACTATAGCATCACCGTATCAGTTTTCTGGGCTATCACTTTGACCCCTTGTCCCCCCTCTCCCTATCCCTAATCCTAACATCATTTTAGGAGGGGAAATAATGTTAGCTTTTGAGTTAGATCTAAGTTCAAAGTGGGTCGTGGAAAGGGAATAGTATTTTTGTCAAAGTACTGCCACATTTTGTTGTATAAACTTGGATAAATCATTTAACCTCTCTAAGCCGCCCTATTCCCATTATTAAGTATTCTCACCTGGCCGGCATGGCTCAGCGGTTGAGCATCGACCTAAGATCCAGGAGATCGAGGTTCGATTCCTGGTCAGGGCACATGCCCAGGGTTGCGGGTTCAACCCCCAGTGGGGGGGGGGTGCAGGAGGCAGCCGATCAATGACTCTCTCATCATCGATGTTTCTCTCTCTCTCCCCCTCTCCTTTCCTCTCTCTGAAATCAATAAAGACATTTTTTAAAAAAAGAAAGAAGTATTCTCCATTTCACAGTTGCTTCTGGCAGGTGAAAGTTCCTAGTTCAACCAATGTTAATGTCTCTCTCTTTCTTATTCTCCTTTACTGGACTCCCCTTTCTCCCACCAAGTTCTCCAGCTGCCAGGCCCTGATCTAACCAGGCTACGAGGTCTAAAAATCCATGGCAGCTTCCTTGAAACAATGGTAATGAGGCATATATTGTCATATGTTCACTGCAGGCTTGTTTGAAATAGCAAAACACTGGAAGCAAGCCGGTGTCTGTCTGCAGGGGGGGTTACTGGGTAAATAAATAATGGGCCCTCCATTCAGTGGAATACTAAGCAGTAAAAGAGTGAGGCAGCTTTATGTGCACTGCAGGGTGTGTGTAAAATGTAAAATTGTGTAAAACGAGGAAATTCGTCTATAAACCTAAGAGCATTTCAATATAAAACTGGTTTAAAAGGTGTGGGAGGAGAATATATCTATTTGTCTATGCAGACAATATTTATGGAGGGAATATGAGACTGGCACAGGGGTCACTGACAGGGAGAGGGACTAGGTGACAGAAGGATAGGGTGGGCAGAACTTTCTAGCATTTAACTTTTTATGCCTTTTGTGAATGTTACCTAACTAAAAATATAAACTAACAAAATAAAAACGTTAACAAGTTAAAGCTGGTCTTTTCCCCTGCCTTGCAGTGGGCAGGACCCCCATCCTCACCCCAAAAAGTTCTTTGCCTCGCTTCATCCAAAGTCATCTCTTTCTCTCCTGAACAAAGAAGCCCTCAGCCTCCTCCCGGTGAAAAGAGCTAAAAGAACTGTTCCTCATGCCCCAGACACAAGCAGAACAGTGCCCCAGCTCCCTACATCAGCCAAGCCCCCTTCCCAAAGTCTTCCAACTCAGGGGGAGCTGATTACTACCGTTCACAGGATTACTCCGTGTTCTGAAAAGGGGAATGCTCTGGATTTAAAAGGACTTAAAGTACATAATGACAGGTGCAATGTGATGTCCTGGAGGATCCTGGTCTGGACAAACTAGCTATAGGAAACATTTGGGGGACAACTGGAACAATTTGACTACTGACTGGACAGTAGTCAGCATTACAGGATTAATATTAATGTATTAAATATAATCATGATAATTTAGCCATATAAGAAAGTGCTCTTATTTGTAGAGATGCACATTGATATATTTAGGAGTGGAACATCAAAATGAGTTACATTTTACAAAGTTCACATGTCTCAGTTGTCCAGGTCTCCCTCTCTAAATGGATGGACTTTCTTCACAAATAGCATATTCCTTTTCACCTCCAGGCCTTTGTTCAAACCATTCCTTCTACCTGGGGAACCCTTCTCTCCCTGGTAAACTCCAGCTCAGTCTTCAAAATATCACCATCACCCCTTTTGCACAGCACTCCCAATCACTTGGCATTGCCATGAAAGTTTAAAGATCAGGCTGCCCCTTGGACTCCAGATCCTTATAGATGGGCATGGTGTCTTAGCACTAACCAGTAATGGGATCACCGTTTAGAGAACCCCTGCATAGGTGAGTTTGTTTCCATTTTACAGAGAAGGAAACTGAGGCCAGAAGAGATGAAGGGAACCCAGCTTTGAAATGAAGAAACTGGGATGTGAGCCCAAGGGCTTAACCTTAGCAAGTGCCTGCCCTAACCGGGGAGGTTTTTAAGATCACAGGAAGAGTTGAGGGAGAGCAGGTGTACAAAGCCAGCATTGGTCAATGCCTGCTGGCACCAGGGCCTGTGTGACTCTATCTTGGCAAAGGGAAACTGATGTTATTTCAAGGTCCATTCCATCCTAGTCATACCAAGGCATGGCTGATATGATCTGGTTAGACTCAGCAGGAATCAACTTCTACCTGAAACTCTGGGTGCCCAAGGAAGCCAAGAGCTTGGTGTTGGGGTCAGGCATCCTTGGGTTTAAATCCTGGCTTGGAACCTGACCAAGTAATGTAATCATGAGCAATGAGTTTACCTCTCTGAGCCAGTCTTCTCATCTGGAAAATGGGGACAATGACAATTTTTATCTTGCACACTTATTCATTCAATAAACATTTGAAAGTCTACTATGTACTAGGTACGAGGAATACACCTAGAAAAGAACAAAGTAGATAAAAATTTCTGTCCCCATGAAGCTCACTTTCTAGTGAGAGACAGTATAAAAACAGGATACATGAATGAACTACTTAGTGTTAGATAGTGACCAGTACTATGGAGAAAAATGAGGTAGGGAAGAAGGTGGGGAGTTCAGGGGTGGCCTCATCGGGGAGGTGACACAAACAGAGGCTTGAAAAAGGTGAGGAAAGTGAGCCAGGCAGAACCCATGTGAATAACAGCAGCCAACAATAATACATATATATCAGGCACTGTGCTAAGCATTACATACATATTGACTCAATCCTCTGGCAGTATAAGTACTATTATCCCCATTTTATAGAAATTGAGGCTTAGAGAGGCTAAATAACTTGCTCAAGATCACACAGGTAGGTGGCACCAGGACTCAAACTGAGACAGTTCACCACCATGCCAGCTGCCACTAGGATGCCAACTCCAGGAGGACAGAGATATTTGTTCAGTCTGTTTTCTGCTGCATCTCCAGTTCTGACAGAGTAGGCTCTCAATAAATGATAGCTGTTATGCATGAGGTTTAAAGGAGGCCGAGCTCCTCTCCAGGCACCAGGCAGCAGAAATGACCCCAAGACGCCCTCTTTTGCAGGTCTGATAGCCAGGGTGGAATCAACCTGCCAAGGAAGTACTGTATTTGCAGCTCTTTAAAACATTCGCTGTCACTCCTGAGGCTTATGCGCCTGGAGACCCCTGTGCCAAATGGGGACTTAGCGCTATAGTTATACAGATGGGGAGAGAAAACGGGATGTGAGCCCAAAGCCAGCTTAATGGGGAGGAGAGAAGAGGGGAGGACAGGGGAGGGGGGCATAGGCAGAGGTCTGCTAGAGGCCAGAGGCCAGCTTCCCATGGTGCAGATGGGGCCACTGAAGCCAGAGAACACAAGGCGGAGGCAGGAGGGAAACGGCAAAACTGGACCCAAAGCAGGGAATACAGAGACTGGCATGGGAGGTGGTCAAGGCAAGAGGGCCAGGTGAGGAAGGCCCCAAAGCAAAGCCGGAAGGATCCAGAAAAAACGTAGTGGGAGCCCCGGCTCAGAAGGCACTTGGGACCCAAAATCCAGCGCCTGGCGCGCAGATGGTGGACACTGAGACCTAGAGATACACCACGGCTGCTCAAGGGCACACGGCGCAGCGGCGCCAGCCGGGAACCCGCGCCGCAGACCCGAGCCAGGCCGAACCCTCAGCTCCCGCCCGACCCACGGCCCCACTCACACTGCCCCGTTCCGGAAGCCTTTCAGCACGGCCAACGCGGCGTGGTAGCGACGCTTACGCAACAGCGCGTTGACTGCCAGCAGCAGACCTCGGAGCTGCGGCGGGGCTGCCATAGCCAGGGTGTCGCGGGGCGAGGGATCACTGCGCGTCCGACCAGCACTGACAGCCCCAGGCTCTGGCTGCACGGCCCAAGGCACCCCGCAGCTCCGAGCCGCGCCCCCGCATTTTTACGCCCATAGGCTGCTTCTCCTGTCACTCAGATACTAAGACCCAATCACAGGGCACACTCACCTCGCAGGATACACGCATTCCCCGGAGTAGAGGTTTGATGGGAAGAGGAGAGCTTGTAACCAATCACAGCAGGCTCCGCCCGACTCGGCCTGAGGAATGTTAGACTCGCGACTGGATTTGTCCAGTCGGAAAGCACGCTTCCTTTGGGCTTGGCAGGGGGTCTGTCACCCGTGAGTTTCCAAAGTTTCCCGAAAGAGGGGCCGCCCTCCCTAGAATTGGGATGGTGACAGTGGGAGGAGCCAGCTTTACAAGTGACAGTTTTGATTAACAGTGATCATAGCGATCTTCCCTGAGCATAGATCCTTTGGCACCACCAATGTTTTCCATTTGTTTTTAAAATCCAAACTCCTTCCCACGGCCCACAAGACTCTATAATCTGGCTTCTGCTTCCGTATCTAAACTCATGTCGGGGAACTCGCCCCCCTCATTCATTCCTCTCCAGCCAAACTGGCCGCCTTGCTGCTCCTTGAGCATTCCAAGAGCGCTCCGGCCTCAGCTCCTTTGCAGTCGCTATTTCCCTGCCCTGCTATGCGTCACCCCCAGTTCTTCCCGTGGCCGGCTCTTTCCCAACCTTCAGGTTTCAGCTCAAATGCCACCTCCTCAGAGAGGCCTTCCTGGATATCCCATATAAAGGAGCACTACCCACTCTTTGACTCATTATCCTCTCTTATTTTCTTCGTAGAACTTTTCACTCTTTTGTCTTGTTTTCTTCTGTAACCCAGCAATTAGCACATGGTAGGTGCCCAATACATGCTTGTTGAGGCAATGCAGTTTGGGTTATCATCTCCCAGAGCATTGATAAGTGACATCCATGTCTGATGCCACTCTGTGGAGTTGTCATTTGGTAAGAGGTAGTACCGCATTGAGCGGTAGTACTTGGGCCATGTGGTATTTATCTCTGATATTATTGCCTCCATCAGTGTCATGGAATGATGTCAGAGGTCAGTGAAGGAGAAATTATGCTGGGCCTATTTTATCACTGAAACTGGACTTTCTTTTTTTCTTCCTTTCTCTTTTTTTCAGTAATGGTGGACTGGTTAATCCTTCCTCTGAAAATAGTGGTCATGTCAAATAAAATATTAAAATATCCTTTGAAAAACACTGAAATGCTTAAAAGCCTGGGGAATGCCCAGATCAATTATTGGTTGAAAACTGACAACCAGTTAACAGGAAGACTGGATTGTTGGAGGGCCAAAGCTACTTATGACAGAAGGGCATTTGCCAATATTGAATCTGTGGGTTTCAGTTCATTAACCACATAGGGCAAGAGGGGCAGAACTGAAAGTCCAGGGCCTGCCCAAGGTGGGGAGTCTTACAGAAGAAATCCCTCCTCCCATTAAGCTGAGACCCCAAAGTGTTTTACCCTCAAGTTTCATGTGATATGAACCTACTGCATACCCCACACTACTAGCCCCAAGTGAGTTCAGAAAAGGTTGCCTTGGTGCTGAGAAAAACAGTTGAAGGAAAAGGAAAGGGTTTTGTTTTTGTTTTCATTTTTGTTTTAAAAATAACTCTTCCTTGGGAAGCTGTAACCATTAATATGTCCTTTTGCACCCTAGGGACTAGAGCCTGGTAGCCCAAGAAATCTCAAACCATGGACTGGGAACATGGTTTGAGGTGATAACTGACTAGAAGTGCCCCCAAACCTTTGGCAAAAGCAAATGCAAAGTCTCTATGAAGAAGGGCACATCTGCTCAGTCCAGTGTGGCTCAGCAGTTGAGCATCGACTTAGGATCCAGGACACCGAGGTTCGTATTCCTGGTCAGGGCACATGCCCGCGTTGTGGGCTCAATCCCCCATCAGGGGTGTGCAGGAGGCAGCCAATCAATGACTCTCTCATAATTGATGTTTCTATCTCTTTCTCTCCCTCTTCCTTCCTCTCTCTGAAATCAATAAAGATATATATATTTTAAAAAGGCACATCTATCTTTGACTTCAGGGAACTACCACAAATAATTTTTCAGGGTGATAATCTGCACATAGAGAAAACCAGGCACCCAAGCCTTGATGAACAAGAAAAACCAGACACAACAGATGGGAGGAACAGAACAATACAGGCCTCAGGCATTGTAACTCACAGACACAGGTTTTTAAAAATTGTGCACACAAGACTAGAAAATAGCTACAGGGAACAAAAATAATTTCAAAATATGTAGAATTTGAAAAGGAACCAAACAGGACTTCTAGAAATATCACCTAATACTCCCATGAAAGATCAGTCACCAAACCCTGACACATGGCCCAGTATCAGGAGAGGATGTTTGAAAGCTATTTGGATATTTGGATTAGCAAGTTCTTCCTGGATGCTATCTTATTTAAAAAAAAAACAAAACACAAAACTTTCATTGATTTCAGAGAGAGGAAGGAAGAGGGAGAGAGAGAGAGGAAAAAAAAAAATCAATGATGAGAGTCATTGATTGGCTGCCTCCTGCATGCCCCGGGCTGGGGAGGGAGTCCGAAACCTGGGCATGTGCCCTGACTGGAATACGAACCTTGATCTCCTGGATCCTAGGTTGATGCTCATCTGCTGAGCCATGCCAGTTGGGCTGGTTGTTACCTTTTGCTAAATGCTTTCTCCTGGAGATAAATAAGTTCCTGCCTTCAAGAAGCCCAAAGTAAAGAGTTGCCACATAGGAACACTTATCCCCTGATGATCCCTCTTCTTCTTCCTCCCCTTCTTCTTCAGTCCTCACCTGAGAATATATTTTTATTGATTTTGAGAGAGAGAGAGAAAGAGAGAGAGAGAGAAACTTTGATTGGTTGCCTCCTGCACACTCCTGGACCAGGGATCAAACCCAAAACCTAGTTATGTCCCCTGATCAGGAATCGAACCCAAAATCTTTTGGTGTACCAGATGAAACTCCAACCAACTGTGCCACCCAACCAGGGCCTGATGACCCTTTTTAATTGTACCTAACTCTGAATTCCTTAGGGCAGGGCCTTTTTATTCACCTTACCCAAGTAATCAAATTTACTTATTTAGCAAGCACTTATATAATACTTGCTATGTTCCAGGAACTCTTTGCTAAGTGCTTTATTAACCATTGTGTTCTCACAGTAACCCATGAGGTAGGGAGTATAATAATGCCCACCTAACGAATGGGAAACTGAGATGCAGAGAAGCAAAGTAACTTCCCCAAGATGATACAGCAAATGAGTCATGAAGCCAGGGTTGGAATCTGGAACTTCTGGCTCCAGAGTCTTTGATCTTTATCACTATGAGTTTGCTAGGGCTTCCATAACAAAGTATACCACCGAGTGGGTGGCTTAACAACAGAAATTTATTTTCTCACAATAAAGGCTAAAAGTCCAAGATCAGGGTGTTTTTGCAGGTTTGGTTTCTTTTGAGGCCTCTCTCCTTCACTTTCAGATGGCTAGCTTCTCACCGTGTCTTAACATGGTCACCCCTCAGTCTATGTTGTCAAATCTCTTCTTATAGGGACACCAGTCATACTGGATTAGGGCCCACCTATGTGACCTCATTTAATATTAATTACCTCTTTAAATGTCCTATCGCCAAATGTAGTCACATTCTGAAGCACTAGGGTATCAACATATAGGATGTCAACATATGAATTTTGGGGGATGCTTTTCAGCCCCTAACAACCATCATGCTTTGCTGCCTCCCACCAGTACCAACAAATCTAACAAGATGTCAGGGCCCAGCCTTGCTTTTGTGTGTCCTTACTTTCTTCCCCTTGCAGCTGGGAGTCTGCTTGAAGCTGCTCATGATTTCTCCCCTCCCCACAGGGAAGTTAACTTCTCTGGGGTGGCTGAAGCACTCATTGTGGAGGGGGACCCTGGAAGTTTCTCAAACATTCCCTCCTCCCTGTTTGGCTCTATGCCTGTAATTACTACATTACTTACTCCAAGAGTCTCTAAGTGATTGGATTGGGTTCAGTGCCAATCACCTGGACTTGAGGGAATGGGACAAAGGACTGACAGATTTTGGTGGAGAAAGAAATGGAGGTAAGGAGTCAAAAGTTTGAAGGAGGGGAAGTCTGACTGGGGGACCTGCTGGAGAACCTCCCTGAAAGCTCATTTGGTTGTCCCATCAGTCAGGTAGTCAGTCAACAAGCATTTCCCAGGTTACCTTTGTGCTGGGACTTGAGTTCCAGACAGAATGGATGAAGCACCTCTCCTGCTCAGAGGGCTCCCTATTGAGGGGGTAGAGAAAAGACAAGCTTCCAAGGGCTAAACATTATCACATACAGGGGTACTACCAAGTACTGTGAAGAACTACAATAGCTAGGGAGGGATGGGATCTCATCTAAGGAAATCAGGGAAAGCTTCTTAGAGGAGGCAAGAAGGCAAGCTTTTACTGTTCCAACAAGGGTAGAAGATTGGCATTTTGGCAAGAGAGAAGCAAGTGCAAAGGCCTGAAGAACAGATAAAAATCAACTATTTGTATATGCACCTGGATATATAAAAATACGTGGAAAGCTGCCAAGGCTTGTGTTGGTGGAATCGTTTACTGTCCAGTGCCTCCCAATGGCCCTGTTCATCTCTCCTTCCTCAACCCCCTGTACCCATACCTCACTTTTTACTCTATTACTCCTTTCACAGTCCTTGGACTCTTTTCATTTTGGGGCCTTTGTGCTTGCCCAAGACGACATAACTAGTAAGTGCTGCCTTTCTGTTCCCTTTTCTCTGTCTGATCCCATCGCGTTTCTCAGGTCCACCTCAGAGAGGCCATCCCTAACCACCCTGTCTAAACGAGGCTCCCCTCCTCCCAGAAAAAAAAATTTTAAGTCATGTAACATTTCTCTCTTTTTTTCCTTGTTTACAGCCCATCTCGCCTGCTGAACGATGTCTGCAGGAAGGAGGTGGTGGTGTGGGGCACGGGGTGGTGTTCAGGGCAGGG